TCACCAAGGATCTACAAAATCCCATTCAGCCTTATATTACTAGTCAGCGCTTCTACATCGTAATGTCAATCACAACTGGCGACTTCACAAGGGCGAAACCTTGGGCAAGTTTCCTTACTCCACACAGAGCCTAATAATAATCCCTCCAAAACCAAAAACAATAATAAATTGGTCATTTTCAATCTACGACTGTTTGTGGGACATTGCTGTGAGCAATTGGCTGCCGCGTTCGCCCACAAATATACAGTCAATTCACTTTACAGTGTGTTCTGTGAAGCGCTTTGGAACGTCCTCCCGATGTGAAAAGCGCTATATCAAATGCAAGGATTATTATTATTATTACACAGATGCGCAGTAAACCTCCCACACTCTAAAAAAAGGTTAACTTCTTCGTCATCAGATTTCCGCCATTCATTTCCTGCACACCCAGGAAATGGTCGCCTGATGACCCAGAAGTTGGCCTTTACCCTGTGGGAAGCTGGCTGGTCTGCATGACTAAACCGAACTCGGGTCTATAGGAAACTCACATTATAAGCAAACCAGTGTTATAAGGAGATGCTGAAATATCTGCACTTAATGTGCGAGTTACTGGCTACAGTACTCCCGACCATAGTCAGGAACACATACTGTAACCTATCAAACTATGATACCACTAGTTGGAGCTGTGAAGCTTTAGCAGTTGCTCCTTAGCATTCCACAAACTAAACAGAGTACCCGCAGAATCCAGATATGAGAATAGGTTGGCAAACTCTCACTTCAGGTACTGCCTTCCAGCAACTCACAGCTTCAAAATTTCGCAATCAGTCTTTTAACTCAACGTATGGCTATACCAAACCGAGCTTTTGATGGCTCTGAAGCTTTGAAAGTTTCCTTAACCAAAGGTTTCAAGGAGTGGGAACCTCTGCATTCGGAACAAAACTGGAGCCGATGTAAATAAGAACTGCGTCCAGTGTAAAAACTTCAAATGTGTTTTCAGGTATCAGAGCAAAAAAAATTGACCTTCACACAGCCTAAATAATTTAATATTTTAGATGTACTATAGTTCTTGTCTGTTATTAAAACTTAAATGTTTCTACAGTAGCTGTCACTCTATTACCAGTTATTGCCACACAAAAACAATCTCAGCTTCATTCCTGATTAAGTGAAAAATCCAACGATCTCACTGCGATTCAAAAACTAAAATATGAGCCACTCAGAAGTTAATTCCTCACAAATGTACTGCCATGTTAACAGGTTAGCAAATTTTAACATATTTCAGAGAACATTATTTTAAAAGTATTAGTAAATGCAGCAGCCTATAGTTAAAATGGATATTACAGATTATCCAGACAACCAAATACTGTAACACTTCAATGAGAGGGAATGCAAACTGCATTTGAATGAAACGCATCAAGTGAAGTAAAAAGATAATGTTAATATTAAACTCGGTCACCATATTACTAGCTTTGAATAAAACAATATTGAATGCATTAAGCTGAAAAAGACAAAAAAAAGCCACAATCAACAAGAGGTTACTAATTCTTGCAATGATCGATTTACTATATCAATTCATTTTTAACTTTCATAAGCAGAAAAAGTTAAATTCTCAGCAAAAGCTAAAAATTACCCTTTACTTCAGTCGGTTGCCCTAGCTGTGAAAGCAGAGCTGCTGTCTTCTTATCAAGCCCAGGATCAGGTTCTAAGTTGTCAGTCAGGAAAGCTGTTATTCAAACAGGATGAACAACATTTTGCAGGTTCCTTTTCTCTCTCTGTTTTCTACCCCCCTCCCATGCAACTCAAACCATTTCATATTTCAGTTAAATTAAATAATGGGCCACATGCATGCAAAGCTCAATGGCAGGCTTGTGAATATCTGTAAAACTATACTGCAGTTTTTTTTAAAAAAGCACTAGGATACCTGGAAAGAAGGATTAGGACCTGGAAAATATGCATGTTGTACCCACTTGTGAAAAAATATCCAGTGCAACAATTCTAGATCCAAACTCCTGTTTGCAAAAAATCTTGAATTATTCAATATCAAATCAGTGATGGTTGGAGCAGTTTCAGATGTTAAGAACACAGAAGAAATGTCTTTGTTTGAAAAGCATGGTTTCTTCACCACCAATTTAGCAGGTTGGTATTAACACACTACAACTATTGCAGCAGTCTATATGAACTATTTTGGCAGATGAGGCAAGAACGAGCAGAATATCTCCCCTCTTTAAATCAGACACCTTGAGATTGGATTCTGATGACAGGAGAGCCAGAGATATTATAGTCCAGCTGGACTTCCCAGGAGGGGAACATAGGATTTAAAAAAAAACAATACTGCAAGTACTTTCTTACAGAACAAATATGTCAACAATTTCAATTAAAACTGCAACAGAAAATATTCTATAGAGCGCTTTGAAAACTGTATACACTGAAGTGTTTAGTTTCAAAACTGAAGCTGTATCAATTATACTGACACCAATGCCTTTAATTTACCGGTACAATAACAGTACCAGATTGAAAATCCATATATAAACAGTCAGCAAAACAATTTTGCGTCAGAGTTTTCTACAACACATTATACATCACAACGTTATGCTATTTTTTCAATCAATCCCCGAGTTAGTTAGGTTTATAGGACTATTCAACAACGCAACTTTAGAAGCAAATATCAACTTGCCCCACATCCCATTAAAAGAAGCCATTTACAAACACATTCAGCACAACCAGTCTGAATGCCCAGTTATCTCCGAGAGCGTGAATCATATGTCACAGTGAATCCGATCTCCTGAAACCCCACGTATAAAGGATTGCCGAATGGTTCTCGGTAGGAAGTTTTGTCCTGTAGCTCAGTGGTTAGAGCACTCGCTTTGCAAGCGAGAGACCTGAGTTCAATTCCAGTCAGAGGGCGATACCTTGGGCAAGTTTCCTTACTCCACACAGAGCCTAATAATAATCCCTCCAAAACCAAAACCAATAATAAAATTGGCATTTTCAATCTACGACTGTTTGTGGGACATTGCTGTGCGCAATTGGCTGCCGCGTTCGCCCACAAATTTACAGTCAATTCACTTTACAGTGTGTTCTGTGAAGCGCTTTGGGACGTCCTTCCGACCTGAAAAGCGCTATATCAAATGCAAGGATTATTATTATTATTATTATTATTATTAAAACTTTCTAAAATGCTGCGCGTTTCGTCCGCGTTAGAGAGAAGATTTTATTTCTTCCAAATAAACGGAATGCGCCAGGAAGCCTCCCCACAAATCAAGCGAATGAGCCCAAAGCCCCCGCAGTGTGAAGGCGTTTGGTTAGCAACACAGTAAAACAGAACGCTGCGCCAGTTAAGTTATTCACCCACAGCCCCGATTCGGTTACACAACTCAATTTATTTACAAATGGAAATAACTTGAGAGCGAATAAACAAAAAGTGCAGCAGCAGCAGCAACAGCAGCAGCAGAGTAGGGATTTGCAAAATCACTCAGAGGAGGTCGGGTCGCGCGTTTCATAACCGCTTTATTACAAGAAGAAGAAGAAGAAGAAGAAAAAAAGAATAATTCGAGGCCTAGACAGCTCATTAAAACCTCGGAGCGGATTTTAATAAGCCTTCCCCCCCCCTCCCACACCCACACTGCCGACAACCCCCGTCGTTTGCGCTCAGGGCAGCGAAACAGCAGCGGCGGGAAAGAAAGTAAGCGATGAGGAGGAGGAGGATGATGATCCCCCCCCCACACACACACACACACACACACAAACTCCATCGGGAAAAAAAATGACACCAAACGCACACCTCTTGTTATCACATCGATTCGCGGCTAAACATGAGGGGCGTTCCTTCGGCGCTTTAAAAACAAACCCTCTCTTTCGTCGTATTCAGATTTTAATCCCCCGCTCAAAACCAGCAGCACATTTTTTTTTAAAAAAAATCAACATGTTGGCTTTTTTTTCCCCCCCCCCCACCCCCACCCCTCCTCGGCCGTTTTGTGACCGGACCGCATTTCCCGGTCTCCTCCTCCCCCTCCTTCTTCTTCTTCTTCTTCTTCTTCTCCTCCTCAACAACAACAAAAAAAAACCCTGAAGAAGAAAACATTTTCCTCTTTCTTTCCTCTCCCCACCACCCCCCCACACTCGTCTCTCTCTCTCTCTCTCTCCCTCCCCGTTTCTCTCTCTCTCTCTCCCTCCCCGTTTCTCTCTCTCTCTCTCCCTCTCTCTCCGTCTCTCTTCCCTTCGGGGGGGAGGGGGAGGGGAGGGGGGTCTTAAAAAAAATCCCGAGGTTAATATTTGATCCCGAATTAGCATAGAGCGGTTTTGCATCGGTAACAGTGAGGAAGAGAGGAGAGAGAGAGAGGAGAGTGTGTGTGTGTGGGGGGGGGTTGGGGTGGAGGGGAAGAGAAAGACAATTTTATATCAAATAAAATCTAAAACGCCGGGGTTTACTTTACACACACACACACACACACACATATATATATATTTTTTAAAAAACAAAGTCAAAATCGTCCTTGCTCTCTCCTTTCTCTTTCTCACTACGGCCCCTCTCTCTCTCTCTCTCTCTCTCTTTTTCTTTTTTTCCTCTCCGTCTTTCCCCCCCTCTCTCTCTCTCTCTCTCTATTTGTATTATTATTATTATTATTATTATTATTATTTTCGGTGAGGAGAGAGCGAGAGAAAAAAAAGAGTAGCGTTCTTGTCCTCCGCGTAACGTCTAAGTGTCGTCGGCGTGTGTTGTGTATGTATATATATATCTATATATCTATATAGATATATACGCGCGTGTGCGTGTGTGTGTGTGTGTGAAAATATATATATATCTATATATGTGTGTGTGTGTGTGTGTGTTTTTCTTATAAAAAATTTTCTCCCCGGCGGAATGCGCCTCTCGTCGAAACGGCCGAGCCCCCTCGGCTGGTTCCCCGAAGCAGAAACGCGTGCATTAAAGTTTTCTTTTCGCTGGCCCCGCAATCAAATACAGTAATAAGGCAAAATAAATTATGCTAAATTGAAATATGAATATGTAAAATTAGAGCCATTACCTGGCTTTTCATCTTTGGACGCTCCATCCGCCATTTTGAATATCAATTCGCTCGACCCGAGATCCCTTGCGTGAGAGAGCGGGCGGAGGGGGTGAAGGAGGGGGGGGGAGGAGGAGAGAGGGAGGGAGGGAGAGAGAGAGAGAGAAGGTGGGGGAACGCACACACAGAGAGAGAGAGAGAAAAAGGGGGGGGAGGAGTAGAAAGAGGAGGAGGAGGAGGGAAAAAGACTGGAAAGAGACGAGAGGAGGAGGAAAAGAGTGGGAGTGGGTGGATGGGAGGGAAGGAGGGAGGGAGGGAAAGAAAGAGGGGGAGGATGGGGAGGGGAGGGGAGGAGGAGGGGTGGGGGGGGGGACACAGAGGGAAGGGGGAGAAAAAGAGTTGAGGAGGAGGGGGGGAGAGAGGGAGGGAGGGGAGAGGGAGGGAGGGAAGAGAAGGAGAAAAAGAGGGAGGGAGGGGAGAAAAAGAGGGAGGGGGGAAGAGAGGGAGGGAGGGGGGAAGAGAGGGAGGGAGGGAGGGGGAAGAGAGGGAGGGAGGGGGAAGAGAGGGAGGGAGGGAGGGAGGGGGGAAGAGAGGGAGGGGGGAAGAGAGGAGGGAGGGAGGGGGGAAGAGAGGGAGGGAGGGGGGGGCAGAAGAGAGGGAGGGAGGGAGGGGGAAGAGAGGGAGGGAGGGAAAGAAAGATGGGGAGGGGGAGCCACGCGGAGGAGGAGGGTGGGGGGGGGGGGGAGACAGAGGGAAGGGGGAGAAAAAGAGTTGAGGAGGGGGAGAGGGAGGGAAGAGAAGGGGAGAAAAAGAGGGAGGGAGGGAAGGAGGAAGAGAGGGGGAGGGGTGGAGCGAAGAGTGAGTGAGTGTGAGTGAGTGAGTGAGGGGATGATGGTGGAGGAGAGGAGGGGAGAGGGCCGACGCCGCCGCCGTTTTGCTTTTAAGTTTTAAACGGTTTATAAATGATGTTTTTTCCTGTGTGTGTGTGTGTGTGTGTGTCCGTCTCCCTCTCTCTCTCTCTCTCGGGCGGGAAAGGGGGGGAAAAAAAAGCCAAACACGTTTTTTTTTACCATCTCACACGGGCCCGAGTGGCCGAACCGTCATTTATTGGAGGTATTTTTATTTGTTCGTTTTTGAAAAAAAATAGCACGAGGTATTATTTATTTTTTTTTACCCGCGAAAAAAAAAGACATTTAAATCTTTTTTCTATATCTATCCATAGATATATATAATATATATACAATATATATCTCTATCCATAGATATATAATATATAATATATATCTATGCGTATCTATACGGATATATATATATATATGTGGACGTGTGGATATATACAATATAATATATATATCTATATGGGTAGATAGATATTATATATAATAGATATTATACATAGTGTGTCTAAATGGCCGCTTTCAGTTGCTCGGACTTGAAATGGACAAGGAGGGTTTTCTTTTTACATGTCTTTAATATGATGTCTCTGGTCTCACGCGCGCATACGTCACCCGAAATAAACTTTTGTGCTCGAACGTGATCCCGTAACGGTTGCCGCGGGGGCGAAATATCTGCTGTTTCGGGTGATGCTGTTCGTGCGTGCGAGGAGAGGAGAGGAGCTGCTTCATCTGGACATTGCTGGGAGAGGAACCTTCTCTCCTCCCCCCACCCCACCCCGCCCCGCGCCCCCAACTCAACGCTACTGCTTGTTCGCACGCCGCGAGTTTAGCTGTGGTCCAAGTCCGTCGGTTGTTTCAAATCGTTATTGATAATATTGACCCCCTTATTTCCTTCTGCAGAACTCGCTCTTCCCCCTCCCCCCCCCCTCCCAACACCACCCCATCCCACCGCCTTGCCCCTCCTTCCCCGTGCCTTCACCTTCCCTCTCGACTCTCTACCCCCTCCTCGCTCCCTCCCTTCCCTCCCCTCACCCTGACCATTTCCCCCCTGCTCGGGTCCTGACCCAACTGTCCAGCGCCTTGGGACGTCCTCCCGACGTGAAAGGCGCTCTATAAATGCAATCTTGTTGTTGTTGTTCCCCTCTTCTAGATCACGACTGAAGAACTTCCTCTTGAGCCTTGCTTATGGTCACCTCCTCTTCCTCCACCCCACTTGGAGGGGAGGGTGATGAGGGATTGGAGCTGGTGGTCAAGTTATGGTGGGTTGTGCAGCCAACACTCATCGCGCTCCCTCTATCTCTCTTGACTGTTAGTTATCCAGGAATTCCATCGAGTTGATGAGGAGGGCAGCGGTGGAAGAATGGGGCTACCAAATTTTGACACATTTCTCATCTTGAATTAAGTCAGGAAGCTTACATGTCCTTACCCCCAACCACCTGCTCCATTAGCTTCTACGTTTCTCCCATAAAATACACAGTCAATTCACTTTATCACATAACAAGAAGACACAGATTTAGAGATGCAAAGGCCTACTTCAGGACAGATACCAGATTTTTTCCTTACCTGGAAGGTAATTAATGCTTACAGGATATCCTGTTAAGTGTTTTCAATGATGTGCTAAGGTGCTATATCAAATGAGAGAATTATTGTATTGCTCCTGAATGAAGCTGAGGTAATGTTGGGAAACATACATAACCATCTTTTTTTCTTGTGATTTCCCTTTTATATTATGTATTTGTTTCATCCTGTTGTTGCAGGCCCTGTTACTGCTCCTGCTGGTACTTTGAAAACCTTTTTTAAAAAGTACAACTACCCTGATTATTCAGTGAGTAAAGGCATACCCGACAGTAGCACTAAGCCATACAGACATGACAGAAGGGAAGAAATGATCCTGGGCTACTGATTCCTGTTCAATGATTCCCTAGTGCAAATTTGTGAACGTGGGTGTTGGTTAAAGACCTAAAAAATTTGCCTACACTTGCTTTCTTGGCATGGATATGAACAATGGATGCTTTGGTGAATTTCTGGAGCGCTGCCAGGACTTGTTCAACATAAGTGTGGAGAAAATTGGCAAAAACAAAATTGTGGGTACTGAATAAGCCAGTGACATGACAAAGCCTGTCCACAAGATAATAATAATAATAATAATAATAATAATAATAATAATAATAATAATAATCCTTGCATTTGATATAGCGCTTTTCACGTCAGGAGGACGTCCCAAAGCGCTTCACAGAACACACTGTAAAGTGAATTGACTGTATATTTGTGGCGAACGCGGCAGCCAATTGCGCACAGCAATGTCCCACAAACAGTCGTAGATTGAAAATGACCAATTTAATTATTGTTTTGGGTTTTTGGAGGGATTATTATTAGGCGTGTGGAGTAAGGAAACTTGCCCAAGGTTTCGCCCTGCCTGGAATCATAAAATCAACTTGGATAAAGAAGACCCTTAGGCCCACTTGATTTCATCACTCCAGAACACACCCTACTGTCTTAATGTCGCAATATCAAGCTGCTTTTTAAACAAGTCCCTGTTCTGGCCTCAACCCCCTTCCTGACAACCAATTCGTGGAGTCCTGTAGCTCAGTGGTTAGAGCACTCGCTTTGGAAGTGAGAGACCTGAGTTCAATTCCAGGCAGGGCGAAACCTTGGGCAAGTTTCCTTACTCCACACAGAGCCTAATAATAATCCCTTCAAAACCAAAAACAATAATAAATTGGTCATTTTCAATCTACGACTGTTTGTGGGACATTGCTGTGCGCAATTGGCTGTCGCGTTCGCCCACAAATATACAGTCAATTCACTTTACAGTGTGTTCTGTGAAGCGCTTTGGGACGTCCTCCCGATGTGAAAAGCGCTATATCAAAATGCAAGGATTATTATTATTATTTAATTCCAGTCATTAATTACCTTCTGGGTAAGGAAAAAACCTTCCCTGATCTATCCTGAAGTTGCCCTTTGCATCTCTAAATCTATGACCCCTTGTTGTACTGTCTTGGTGTTGTGTAATATAGCATCAGTGTTGAAAAGAGTAAGAGATAACAAATAATTAGAGTTGGGTTCATCACATTTCGGTTTTAAAAGCCTGTAAGGAAGGTGAATGTAGGAGGTAAGAAGATTCGTAGTTTTAGTTCAGTGAAAGAAAGTTTGATTTAGTGATAATGTTTTTTTATTTGAATGGCAGGAAATGAAGAGCTTGTAGGACAACATATTTGAAGCTTGGGGGTAAAAGAGGAAATTTCAAATAATAATGACCATTGTATGATTAACAAAACAAAGACCAAGAAGTTATGATAAGAGAGTGGGAGGTTGGAGGCCAAGGTTGGGAGAAGGATCGCCTACCAAATGGCAAGTCTTCTTCAGTCCTATGTTGGAATGCAAAGGAAATGGTAAAAAAGCTTTCGAACATGTCAGTGCAGTGTTGACATCTCTAATGAACTTAGACTTTATGCAAAGGTAAGAGTTCCAGAGGAAGAAGTATGTTATTAGCAGGAAAGAGCACAACTTGTTTCTTGGAAGCAGCTTCAGCAGTAGGGAAGATGCAAGAGTTTCATTTGTGATCAGACAGATAGTGAATCCAAGAATATTAATGCATGAAGGACTTAAAGTGAGAGATGGAGGCTGTTTGTCTTTATGAGTGAACCAAACAGTTGAAAAAAAACATTATCTTGTTAAAGGTGAAGGTGATGTATTGTGATTATTTATGAGAGTCTAGAAAGTTTGGTATTCTTCCTGTTGGAGCAGAGAAAGTTGAGGAATGAAAGGGCTTGTGAGACTCATGAAAAACTTTCTGTTGGTAGGGATTCAAGGACAAGTTTGTCTCTTGGGGAGTCAAAGGAGGTGTTCAAAACAATTTCTCCCAGTGGGTTGTCAGAGTATGAAATGATTTGACAGGGATGACTGTTAAAACAGTTAATTGGGCTTTTACAATAATAATCTCACATTTTATATAGCATCTTATCACATCATCGATGCTTCACAGGATTTTAAAGTAAGTGTTGTGACTGTGTATTTGTAGGCAAACATGAACATTATTGGACAAGTGCAAATCAGAGGAAGGTATTAGCAAATGAGGAAAGAGCAGGGAATTGGGTTTAGGTTGGATGGATTCTTGCAGGAGCAAAATAATGAGCCAAACGGCATAATACGTTGCACATTTCTGTGGATCTTTGGAACAAAGGTAATTTCAAATAATATAATCTGTAAGTGGTTGAATATGTA